TAACAAGCAATGCGGATTCCAATATAAAGAGGGACGGAAGTGTGAGAATGTTCAGTTCTTGGAACAAAGGTTTACAGTGTGTCCGTCTATGGACTCCACATATTTTTCTAATTGCACGCTTTTGAAGGATGAAGATGCGTTTTGCCTCACTGCAACCACCCCAAAATACCAAACCATATGAGATTATGCTATGAAAACAGCCATAATAAACCTTAAGGAGAATCTCGATGTCAACCAGCTTTTGAAGTCTAAACAGCAGGTAGGTAATAGATGACAGTCTGGGCGCTATTGCATCGACATGTGTTCCCCAATTAAGGTTCTCCGTAATGTGTAGGCCCTAGTATTTGGTTTCACTACAGGTCTCAAGTGGCACCCCGTCTAAGGTCAATACCGGAGGTGGTTCAGGCTTCTTCCTGTTATAAAATTCCATTAATTTGGTTTTACTAGAATTTAGGACCAGATGATTTTTGCTACACCAAGTTGACATTTCAAGCAAGCCAGTTTGGGTGTTTTCAATCGTGATGTTTTGATTTGGGCTTGGGACTAGGTGACAGGCGTCATCGGCAAAAAGCCATAAATTTCCAAAGGATATGGAGCCAGGCAAGTCATTCAAGTATAACAGGAATAGGATGGGCCCAAGGTTTGATCCCTGGGGGACACCAATGTTCAGAGCTGGTGATGGAGACGATTTATATGTCCGGAGGATGTTGTCAGGGCCTCTGTGCTTCAAGGATACAATCATGTGCCGATCTTTAAGATACGATGAAATCCATCGCAGTGGGTTTCCAGAAATGCCAAGCATTCGCAGCTTATCCAGAAGGATCCTGTGGTCAAGAAGATCAAAAGCCTTTGTCTTGTCGTAAAAGAGACATAGTAAGCTGTCAGATATGTCAAGGTGGTTATATACTTCCTTTAAAAAGGCGAAAATGGCATTACAGGTAGACATGTTTTTTCTGAACCCAAATTGGTTATTTGACAAGATGTTATTTGTTTCAATAAAACTTAGCAATCTTTTAAGAAAAATAATCTCAAAGATTTTACCAAAACAAGGCTGGAAAGAATAAGGCCGGTAGTTACTTGCGTTAAGAGGATAATTTTTCTTAAATACAGGGACAACCTTTGAAGTTTTCAATGAATCAGGAAAGCAACCAGTTTCAAACGACTTGTTAATAGCGCAGGCCAATGCTTCAAAGATGTTTTCATTACAAAGTTTGAGAAGGCTGCATGGGACTTCATCAATGCCAGAACTTTTTTTGATCCTATTAATAAGAGGACTTCACGAACCTCAGACGCAGAAGTAGGGGACAGTACAAAGCGACTCGCTTCGAGATCAGTGGGCAACACAGGGGCTACATTATCTTTAGCCAATGTGCATATTTCCTGGTGAAAAGATTTACAGAAATAGTCTACTATTGTCTGAGGATTTTTGACTTCTTGTCATCGATCATAAGAATCAGGTTCGATTGGGTCTGATACTTTTCATCGCACAGTGTACGGACCACTGCCCAAGATTCCTTGCTTGTGTTTTTGGAATTTAATATTTTGTTACCAAAAAAGGCCTTTTTTGTTTTGTTAACAAGTGCAGAGTGGTGACGTTTAGCTGTGCGATAAGCATTTTTTCCATCGACAGAACAGTGAGGCGACCTAGTATTCCAGTACAGGTCCAAGAGTGCTTCATGCAACTGCGATACCTCATGACTGACCCAAGAAGAGCTATGTTCATTCTTTGTATTTGAAGTAGACACAGGGAAACTTACATTAAAAACATACATGAACGAATCGTAGAAATGGTCAAATAAATCATTAGAGGTAATATTTCTTAAATTAGGTTCTGGCATCCAAGCTTCATTGCTAGATAAAATTTTGAAGGCTTCAAAAGTCGAGGCTGTAAATTTCCTCTTCACTGTCTTATTTGCATTTCTCTCTCCAAAACGTTCACACAACAAGTGTACTCTGATACCAAATGGTGGTCAGAAAAAAAAACAAGTTTGGCACTGGGGGCACGAAACATATGTGCAACAAACAAGTCAACAATAAAATAGTCAAGCTGAGTTATACAGTCAGGTGTTACTCTCGTTCGTCCTTTAAATATAATGTTCAGGTTATTACATTCCAACAAATCCTGAAGCAGCTGACTTTCCCAGGATCTCTCAAGATTGTTTATATTTAAGTCAGCGCAAATAAGAAGCGGGATATTAAACTTATCTCTGAGGGTAGAAATCAACAAGTCGAAACGATCAATAAAATCAATCACATCAGCGCTGTTGGCAGTCCCAGGCCGATACAATACCACAACAATAATTTGGAATTTGTCTAGCTGCATTAGTCCCAAACAGAACTCAAATACACCTTCAGAACAAATGTCTTCGTCAATAGATAATGTCATAGGCTTAAAATTAAGCCTAGAGTCAGTTTTAAGCAACAGAGCAACTCCACCCCCTACTCGCTTAGGTCTAGAATATTCAGAAATGGTTTTGAATCCATTTACTTTAAAACAATTCAGCTTAGATTCATTAAGCCACGTTTCAGCAACACACAATACTTCAGGGTTCTCATTATGTAACAAAACTTCGAGGTCTTCTATCTTGTTAAAAATAGACCTAATATTTAAGAAATCAAACCTAAAACTAATATCACAGTTTTTTTCCACCCCAAGACAATGTGAGTTGGGGCTTACGTCCCGTTTTTTGACCATCAGAAGTCTTTGAAGTAGGCCTAGGCCTATCATGTTGTTCAAGGTTAGGCCTAGTACTGGTCCTGTGACTATTATTAGTTCTAGGAGTCATATGATCATATCATATATGAATCAACAGGCATATATCAATTTACATATGAGTATTCCCTCAGGCCAGAGATTACTATCCAACAGGTTGTCAATAGAGTCAGAAGGTACACCTACCTTAAAAGATGAGTAACCCTGGTACTTAGTGGGAAGTTGTTCACACTGGATTTGCGAGTGTTCAATAGGACACAAGTTCCTTATATACTCGACTAGGCTTTCAGGTTTCACACATTGGTCAAATCTTGATAAAAACATCCAGGATTTCTGCTGTGCCACAACAAGAGGTCCAGTTTGTTTGGCTTTGCCAATTATAGCTCGGTTTCGTTGCACTTTAGATTGAGGACGTACTGAATTTGACTTCTCTCTGTCACCGCGACTATTTACATTACTCCTTTTCGTCCTAGTCATTTGATTCCGATTGCCATCAGCACCAGGAGACATACATAACTGAGGCGATACCACAGCATTGGTAGTGATATTGGAAGTGTTTTTACCACGATTCAGCACCTCACTATAACATTCACTTCTAGAGGGGTTAGCAAAATTACTAATACCGTCAGCGTCATCGGCCATCTTGATGAGGCGTAACGTCATCGTCAGTGCTGCCAGTCTTACAGCAATTATTAAAACTAAGTTCATCATCTCCATGCAGTGGAGAGTACGTCACAGAATTATTTCCATTACTTCCAACTACTTGAGTCAAAGTAGAGTCTGAATCAGCATTATGTACTTCGTCATTGATTTGAACTTCCGGTGGGCTCACATTGCTTTTTAACCTACAAACGTCACTGGAAATATTATCTAGCTTTGCTTTAATCAAACAATTGTCAGTTACTATATCATTCACTAATTTAAATAGCTTTCCAACATTCTGAAGTAGGTTACAGTTGTCATCAAAGCTCAGAGCATAATCCTTAAGCCTAGCTAACCTGACTTTGCAGCCTGCACAAAACCATTTGACTGAGTCTCCCAGCTCTTTTATAGATTTATCACTTTAAAATGACACACAATCGGTATGGAACGATTTACAACAAAATCCGTCACATGTAACTCCAGGATTTCCTTTATTCACGGTGTTTTTCACAGACGCCACAGGGATAACGAACTGTACGACCCGACATCTTGACCGGGGTTTAACGAGTACTTAGGTTTGCTGCAACAGGGAGGGTAAAAAAGTTTTTTTTTTAATGTAAAATTTTTAAAGGTACTGTAGTTTAGTAAGAAATTAATGTATTTTCCAAATTTTATCACAATATGTTTATAAACAAGCAAACTACAACAGTTGACTTATTCTCCATAAGAATAACATGGGAATTTTAAAATTACAATTTTTTAAATTTTATTCAAAACAATTAGGCGCATAATAACGCTTCAATATACTAAATTATTTGTTTTTTTAAGCTCTACAAAATGGTTTTGAAAGAAATTGTGAAATTTTGTGTTTTTTTAAGGTCAAAAATGGGAAAAACCTATTTTTACCCTATAAAACCCCTAATAAACCCCCGTTCCCATAGTCCAATCATGCTGGTTCGCGAACTCATTCAAGTTTATCCCGCCTTACACCTTTAAACCAAATTTTATCAAAATCGGACAAAAATTACTCAAGTTATCGTGCAGATGGACACAATTAATTAAATCCGTTATGCACAACGTTTTTTATCTCACTTGGTTTGGTTTTTCTTACAAAACGTGATCGTAAAAGGTTGCAGTATTAGTAAACAATATTATTAATATGTAAACAAATCAGTGACAGCCAGAAAAAATTATCTTGATCCAAACAGCTGTTCGTTATTTTCATAGATGACGTACTTTCAAAACAGATTATAATATTTCATAAATGACGTATGTGGTAAACATTGGGAGAAAACTAGACAAAAATCGCACAGAATTGTGTTTTTAAAACGTCCATTATTTTATTTACAAAGTGTCTAGTGTTAAGTTATTTACGTGAGGCCCCATTTTAATGGCTAAAAACACTCTCACCAATCCAGTGAATGCATTAAAATTGTAGAGCAACTAGTAATAATAATAATCTTGGCCATCAATGGAAGTCTTTCATCATAGTGAAATTCCAGCTGATTAAACATTTGTATTATGATCAACAGTTTTAAATTTTAAAACAAATCGTTTTTCAGATTGAAATCACTATAAATATAGAATAACCACGCAAATTCTAATATTACTTTATTTTAAAATTCAACGTTTTTATATCCACCAGGTTTCCAAGAAACACCACTCTCAAGCTACAATACTAGCGGAGGGTTACGCAGCGCATCTGTCTAACCTGCTGTGCCATGGAAACTCTCGTCCAGCGCAAGGCAACGCGCGGATGGTCCTCGTGCCACGAGGCTTTGGTCACAACGCTTCAATCCGACGAAGAAGGTAAATTTTAGAAAGTAACAATAATTGATTGTAATCACTCGGTGTTTTTCAACAATGAAATTGTTAGACAAGCAGTAAAATTTAATTTTAATATAAATGTCTTAGTTTTATTAGTGTAAATACATTATTTGATATTTTAAAAACTACTTTTGAGTTTTATAATTGAGATAAAGTTTTGCTATGGCATTTTAGTTTACCTCTTCTTTCCCTCTAGTATAATTTGTGTAAGGCTGAGAACTTTGCTGCTTTTTGTAAACATTATTAGTAGTTTTGGTGAATGAAGCAGGTGGTAGGTAAAGGTATGCATAAAACTATCAGATCTGTAAAGTCTTTGCTATTTATTAACAAATGTACAGAAAATATTAAAACTGTCTCAAAGTCTAGTTACTAACACAAATTTAAGGTGAAGTACCTGAGGTATTTTGCCATAATGTTACGAACAAAAAAACGTGTGCAGAACTGTGGAGATAAATTGGTATGTTTATGTTTGTAAAAATTGGTAAGGTTTGCACTTTTGATTGAGTTAGTCATTAAGGAAAAAATTATCTTTTTATGAGTCGTATGATTTGATTGATGACAGACAACGTTAAATAAATGTGGCTTTAAACAAGGTTTTATTTATTTAATGGAAGACTGAATCACCAGTGTTCTCTTAAATAAGGTGAAATTTAAAGCTCTCATAAAATAACAATGATAAAAAAAAAATACAAGTTTTGCCTTCACTTGCAAATTTTCTTACTTGTTGAAAAGAAGGAGGGAAAACACAATATTCTGATCTTGGGATACAAATTCTAAAAGCATTTACCCACACAAGATTCTCTAAAATCGCTACCAGGCAACGTCTCTAAACAATCCAATCACCTAAAGAAGATTCTTGACAATCCAAAATACTAGACTCTAAACTGGCACACACACTTATAAAATTCCTAAAAGTTCATTCATACTTTGCAAGAATAGATACAAAACTTATAAAATTCATATCCTTATCCACCACAGGATAAAGATATGGGGTAAAGCGATAACAGGACTGATTCTGACCTGGGCCAGCCTGAGTTCCCTGGGGCAGTAATGCGGCATTTTCCGAGGGTGCGACATTAGGACTGAATGAAATCTCCCCGTTCTCCCTGCCTAATTCCCATCACCCTACCCCCGCACCGGACACATAGTGTGAAATAGTGGGTTCGGCTCATGAAATCGTTCACAGAAATATTTACTCCATGTAAATTGTCAGCACTTGTCTTTATTAAAACAGGTAAATTGCCTTTTTATGTAATAAAAATATTTTAGTAAATATTGTTATGGTTTGAGGTTTGGTTAGGTTAGGTTATATTAAGCTAGGTTAGGATAGGACATTTCTGTCTTGATCTGAAAAATTATGCCACACAGTTATGTTTGATCTCTTCGAAAACACGACGCATCAATTTGGTGAACGATTCCATGAGGTGATCAGTTCTCTTGCCTGTGTGTATGTATATAGGGAGAAGGGAGCTGGCTGTGGGAGAACGGGAAGAAACCGATGCGGCAAGGAAGGTTTCCTCAGTCCTATTGTCGCACCCCTGAAATTGTTCGCATAGCTGCCCTTGCGGACCTAGGCCGAACCAGGTCAAATTCAGTCCTGTTCCACCACTACATGTGAGATATGAAAAATAATAACAACGATAAACCCAAAAAATACCTCATGACTACTAATTTAACTACAACACCTATGTTAATAGTAGATTTCCCAAACAAACAAACAAATAATAAAGGCCTTGTTCAAAAACGCAATTCTTCAGAATTGGGTAGACAGAAACGTTCTCATCATTGGATCTAAACCTGGATTTCACCCAAATAAAAAATGAGAAAGCTACCCTATCCCCAGAAAGATTTTGTATGTTGTAAATATAATATATATATGCTTGAAAATGTAGTTAATGGATTTCATTTGACACATAGAATACTTAATACTATAATGATCAAAAATGTAAACTGGACATTATCAGTGTTCCTACAGTGGGAATAACAATCTACACCTGAAGAAGGAGCTGGTACTGTAGTTCCAGAAAACTCCTGTGCTTTTTTTCAATTTATTCACTGCTATATTTTATCCACCAGACAAGTCTAAAAATGGTTGTAATGGTTCTTAACAGCAAAAAATCAAATTGTACTTGATTATTCATGTCATGTTTTTGTTTAAGACTTATCATAATACTTTTCTGGCTGGTTGAATAAATGTAGAGACATCTAATAAAAAAAGTTGGCCTTATGTTAGGTTTGCTGTAACTTTACTCATATTGTACACCCTCTTTTTTTAACTGTTGGTTTTTTAGGTACACCTTTTCCTGCATTTACTTGAAATTCAGTTTAATGGATTCACTTCTTGTCTTGATAATGATATTATTACGCTATACAAAGCCTATTTTTTTGTATAAATCGTTTTCCTACAATATACAATGTTCGATTTACGTCAGGTGTGGAGCAGGGATCGTGCCGAAACGAACAGACGTTTGATCCGGCTCTGCCGTTTAATTGCGTTTGAGTCAAGGTAACGACTGGTCTGATGATGGTGATGTGAACAGCTGTTGCATTCGCACAAGCATCTTGAATGAGACTTCCAGTTGGTCTCTCACTTTCTGTCTTCATCTCAGCTAATTGTTAATGTGTTAAACCGTAAACAAACTAACAATGTTAAACTATACTTGTGCCTAATTACATGTGATACAGCAACAGTTATGGTAGAAAAGTAATTTTAAGAAAAGAATAAATTAAGAGCAGACTGTAAATAATATTATGACTAAATAAACCATGTAAAACTTTATTAACATTTACGATTATTTAGAGTTTTGAACGGGATAAATCTTCCACTTTGAGTCCCAAGTTATCATATATTTTCATTAAACAATCGCCGAATAGGCCCTACATAATTAAAGGTATTAAAAAAAATTTAGATTTTGTTATTGGAAAAATTTATAAAATCATGTATGTTTTACATTTGATTTATTTTAACTTTATTGTTGGTTGGATGGAAAATTCCATGAACAATAAAACTTTTTCTAGAGGTTTTCTTTAGTGAATCTCTGCCAATTCATGCAATAATGACTCAAGTTTGAATACTACATTTTCAATATTATTCTCCTCTTATATAAAAATTATAAAAATTACCGCATTTTTTGTTAGCGAATTTTCCATATAGGGAATTAAGCTACTACCGTAGGTCTCACGGTAAGACGTGGATCCAGAACCAATTTTAGCGAATTTCCCTATAGGGAAGTAGCTATTACCGTAGGTCTCATGGTAAGACCTAAGCCCGGGACCGATTTACTTTTTCATTTTGATGTCCCCAGAGGCCAAAAACACCATTCGTTCAAATTTTTATATATCTATATATAGAGATATATATATGTGTCCATCCGCACGATAACTTGAGTAATTTTTGTCCGATTTTCATAAAATTTGGTTTAAAGGTGTAAGGCGGGATAAACTTGAATGAGTTCGCGAACCAGCATGATCGGACTATGGGAACGGGTGTTTATGGGGGGTTTTATGGGGTAAAAATAGGTTTTTCCCATTTTTGACCATAAAAACACAAAATTTCACAATTTCTTTTTAAACCATTTTGTAGAGCTTAAAAAAACAAATAACTTAGTATATTGAAGCGTTATAATGCGCCTAACTGTTACGGAGAAAATTAAAAAAAATTGTAATTTTAAATTCCCATGTTATTCTTATGGAGAATAAGTCAACTGTTGTAGTTTGCTTGTTTATGAACATATTTTGATCAAATTTGGAAAATACATTTTGTACTTTTTAACATTTTACATTAAAAAAAATTTTTACCCTCCCTGTTGCAGCAAACCTAAGTACTCACTAAACTAATTCTGTTTAAATAGGGAATAAGTGTGATATTTTTAAGGAGACATTTTAGTTTAAATCCAATCAGGCAAATGGAAATTCGCTAAGTCTGCAGGTTTGCTGCGGCGGGGTATTTGTTTTGTTTTGATGTCCTCATAGGCCAAAAACACCACCCATTTATATTCATATATACTGTATATATGTATGTGTCCGTTAGCACAATAACTCGAGCAAGAATCATCCGATTTCAATGCAATTTGTTAAAAATGTGTAAACTTACATTCATTTAAACGAGTTTGCGAACCAGCATTATCGGATGGAAACAGGGTTTTATGGGGTGAAAATTGGTTTTTCTCATTTTGAGCGTAAAAAATTCAGTTTTCTAATTTGTCTCTAAACCATTTTGAAGAGCTTAAAAAACAAATAATTTAGTATGTTTGTTGAAGGGTTTTTGTGTATTAATTGGTTACGGATAAAATAAAAATAAATTGTAAATTTAAAATTCCCATGTTATCCATATGGAGAATAAAATAAATAGTTGTAGTTTGCTTGTTTATGGATACCGGTATATGTTGATCAAACTTGGCAAATCAAAAGTATTTATTTTATACAAAGCTTTTTTAATTTTACTAAACACACACTTTATTGCCCTCAGTGTAGCAGAAACTCTAAGTTCTTTTTAAACCTAGTGTTATTTAGGCCTAAATAGATTTAAAGTGAGAATCAAATCAGACAAATAGAAATTCGCTTGGTCTGCAGGTTTGCTGCTCAGGGATATTTTTTATCTTTATGTTACTTACAAAGTGAACAAAGTTACTGGGGCTCAAAGTTGATAAATAACATTTAACTTTGCATTGCTAATCTATGATACCAATGCTAAATAATGCTGTAATTGCTGTGCATAGCTATCCAATTTGAGCATAAACAGTTTTATAATTATGTTATGCTAACATTTTAGATTATTTTTTGAGTTTTCATTACTAACAAAGCAAGTAACCATAACCAATCCTTATATTATTTTTTCCTGCAGGATGATTCTTAATTTCTGTCGGCGAAATATTCCAGAAAATGCACTTTTGGAAAAGGCACCCAAAACACCACTAAGTAATTATTTAATTTTTTATAAAAAGGGTTTATTGAAAGTTTGTTTTGTTACTTGTTTTGTGCAGCAGATTTGGTACACTAACATTTACTGGTATGGATTCAATTAGGATATCAGGGTTGGAATAATCTATAAATAGAACCATAAATAAAACTCTAAACATATCAGTGTGTAAGTATGTGTGTTGGCTATGATCGGACTGGTGTTATTCTGCTAAGCTGTAAACATTTCCCAGTGTGATTTTAAATGGTAAGGGCTACTTTAAATTAAGTACTCACTCTCTCACTTAATGTATAATGAAACATTAACCCGAGGTATAATTATAGTAGTTTACGCAACGATTGCGTAAAGATAGTGTTAACGACACGAGTACAAAATTTTATGTACGAGCCTTGGCGAGTGCCTTAAAAACTTCTACGATTGTCGTTAACACTGTTTACGTGTGTTGCGTACACTAACTACTTTACCTACGGCCGTTTTTTAATTACTAATAATCACTACTCAAAACTAGCAAACATAATGATTTCTAAATTTCTGTCATTACATTTACCGCAAGGGTTTTATTTATTGGTTTAAACTCATATTAAATTCCAGAATTTATTTACCTTTTGCATTTTTTATTTTATTGATATTTCAAGTAGCCCTTCAGATTTTGCATGCTTTTCAGCTTAGCATGTGACAGAATTTCTTCTCATAATACAAATTACTATTTTCAAACATATCACTTCTCCCTATTTAATTCATATAACTACAAATAACTTTTATTGGAGATATGCAATTTGAATGTACTGTACAGTAAAATGTTGCTAGTATTTTTTTTTTTTAACTAAGTGAAAATATTAGAGAAACTCTAAATCATTGAATGCCCAAGTCAAATTACCAATAATAATAAATCATAATATTTAAATTTATTATGGCTACAGATTACTTATCAAAACATTTATACAAATATCTTTGTCTGTTTTATCACACAATTTACAAACAAGTAAGTGAAAATTAATGTACAATACCTGAATATATACTTACAAATTACAAACACATAAAATTTGTTCAAAATGCAATCAGGAACATGGAAAAACATATTAATTTTAACTAAGCACCTAATCACCATATCATATTAGAGTGCGAAATTAAAAAGCTTGTCTTTTTCAAACTTGTTTGGATATTTGTACACAGTAGTTTTATGAGTTGGTGGCTCAGTCAAAGTCATTTTGTGGGTTTGTATTGATCGTGTTGCCTGCCACAAAATGTCATCAGTTCAGTTCACTCTTGTACTGTACCAACTCACACTGGCTTTGTTAAATACATTCCACATACTGGCCCCAAGTCTAGGTTGATGGTCAAATGCAAAAAGAACTTTTCCGCCAACCTCTTAAAAAAATGTTTACTGTAATAATTTGTTAGAATTGAAAAGGCATTTTTATATTACATCGTGAGGCTCTAAATAACAGTAATAAATTTAACTTTCAATTACAACACAATTTAATCCAAATAACGTTTTAGCTCTGCAAAACTTCATAAACTCTTGAAATTTGCCAAAACAAATAATTGTAGCAAAAAAAAACTTAAATATCAGGAAGATTGAAATTGATATACAATAAACTGAGAACCTACATAATATTGTCAATAGCCAGGTTTTACTGTATTTTCCTGCATTATGGTTTCATTTTTTCATCCCGTTTTTATCTCTTGGTAAAGATCGTGTCAGCCAAGGAAGGAGTAAGCGTGAGTAAAACATCCTAAAGGCACCATCCTTGTTTAATCTCCCTTCTTCACTCAAGCACATCTCCAATAGTTTAACACACAAAGTGTCACAAGCATGACACTACAACACTTGAAACACAGTTTTCGAATTGATCACTAACTTCTGTGTGTCATTTCTCTGCAGTGTTGCACTTTCTATTCATGCTGGTTGGTGCTTCTAAGTAGATTAGGCTTAGTTCTGCAGGAAAGATGGACGCTGTGAATTGGCTTTTCGTGCATCATAGAGTAAAAATGTGTCGTTTTATGTCTTAAGTAAATGCGTAATGTTAGTATTTTGTTTATCAGTGTTTTCAGGTTTAAATCATGATCTAATGTTTTTAGCCTTGGTAATAACGTATCAGATAGTTAAGATTGGAATTGGGTGAATGTGAGTTTGGGTAATTTTGATCGTTTTAAATTAGTTTGGAGATATATATATATATATATTACTAGCTGACCCGGCGAACTTCGTATCGCCTAAGTTATAGGTTTCCCCTAAGACAGACCGATGGAAAGAAAGTACCGTTACGTTTAATTTTCAAGATGATCTCGTTCGCATCGCTCAATCACGTCCTGGTTGAAGTTCGTTCGCTACGCTCACTCACCTTTGGGTTGGAGCTCGTTCGCTACGCTCACTCACCTTTAGGTTGGAGCTCGTTCGCTGCGCTCACTTGCCTTCAGGTTAGCTCGTTCGCTACGCTAACTCGCCTCCAGGTTGAAGTTCGTTCGCTACGCTCACTCACCTTTTAGTTGCAAATTAGCTGTTGTCATAAATGTAAAAGAAATAATAGTGCTGCACCCTGTTGGTAATCCTTGTAACTTTAATGCTATTGAACATCATAGAACAG